GGCGGTGGAGCGGAGTGAATTGCATTTCCCGATTCTCGACCTCATCGGTGACATCGCTTTAACAACGTTACGTTATTTTCAAATGTCAGATAAAACCGTTCCCAGACATCTGGGAATTGTGTTCATTGGAAAATATATCTCCACTTTTCTATCGTCCTCATTTCATTGGGAAACGTATTCGTGCCAATACTATTTAATAGACGCGAGTCGTAATTGAAAAGAACATGCATACATGCAGTATGCACTTTCTTTGTTCGAATTTATTGAATAAGGAAACGAACGAGGAATTTTCAACGTTATGTAAACAAAGCCGAACGGACGAATTCAAAAACGTATTATTCTCGAGCGATTGAACGCGAAACGATAGCTGCCACGAACAAACAATTATTTTCGATAAATCAATACGCTCTCTATGCCCTACGTATTTTTTTTTCTTTTTTTTTTTTTAGTCTTATTGCCGCCGATAAAGCACTCTGCTTTGATTGGATATTTTATATTCGCTGTTTGCGCTCGAGCAGATATTAATATTTGTGTACGTGCACCATTTTACTTTATAGTAAAACCAACGCGTTCATTTATCTCTTATTATTGCTAAATTGATTGACCGAGCACTGGAATTCGTTATTCTTCAATTTGATGCTACTGCGTCGGACAAGCATTCAATAATCGAACAGCTTGTTCTTAAATACTGTATATGTATGATTTGCAAGAAATTAATTACAAGAATTAATTACGAGAAATAATTTCAATTATTCTTTTCAACTTCAAGCAACTGAAAAATAGAGAGATTCTTGTTATACTGACAATGAGATGTTTATGGTTCCAACAATAGCCGCAAGTATCTAGATCGCATAAAAGATGAAGCCGATGGAATCAATAGTTTCGGAGAAAAGCTTAGGACAGTATTGAGAAGTGAAGTTTCGAAGAAACGTATTTGAAGTTTCACGGACGGCTGTAAAATAGTCAGCAGAAAGCGTCAATAATTTTATTCATGTTCCAACAAGTTATTTCGATTAACATCGTGTAAGAAATTCGGGAATTATTCTCGCTTTAAAC